GGCAAAAAAAATCTGAATGTCATGCTCAGTTTTCCAGCCAATAAATGGAAGAGTGAAGGGACTGACTAGCTATTTCAAAAAAGAAAGGTTACAATGATATATGCCTGAGTTACCTATAACGTGATTTTTATTTCCTCTTGAACCTTGCTAAGAAAACAGTATTAAGAAACAGTACTAATTTGTGTGTAGTATGGATGGTTTTACACTTGGAAATAGAAGCAAATAAGGGATACCGGGATATGGACTTTTATGCTAGTAAAGTTCCCATCTAGGTCTTTGAAGTCTCTGTATATAATTGCCCTGCTTTTAAAAAATATATATCATTTCCAATTCTCTTCCTGTAAAATGTTCAAAACACACTTTATAATCTTACACTAACTCTTATGTCTACATCCTTTACAACTTATCAATGTTTTATAACTAAATAAAAATGAACTGTTCTCTTCCCCATAAATTCTTCCACAAATAAAAATAAAACTACTTTAGGCTAAGAAAGGTCATGATTTACAAAGTCAAAGCAATGAATTTGAAGTATATACTAGTACTTCCCAGACTTTAGCATGCATCAGAATCGTGACCTGAGGTAACAAACACAGATTGCTGGGTCACACCCTCTGCATTTCTGATTTAGAAAGTCTGGGACATTGAGAATTTGCATTTCTAATAAATTCCCAGGTGAGACTGATGCTGAAGTTTAGGGGTTTCCACTATGAGAGCTTAACTTCTGTGATATGTAAAACATACTTGAAAAGTAATATATATTTTTCACCCACCTAATAGCTGTGACATTTATAACTACCAGAGATGCTGATTACTTTTCACACAAAACTGATTCTATTCTTAGCTAAGTTACTAATAACCACAGCATTATTAAAATAAAACAAAAAAATAAAAAATACCACCACTTCCATCACAATAATCAGCTCAGAACTACCTCCTTCCTTATTGTTAAACAACAGGGGCACAGGATTAATCGAATGCAATTGTTTTCTACTTGTCTCCATTCCTATATCTTACCCTTTTCCACTACCCAACATGAGCCTTGCCAGGACAAATAATCTGAATTACAAAAAGTGACGGGAAATGAAACTATGCCTTCTTTCTAACCCAGACAGTTCCAGCCACCCTGCCCCACTCCACTCCCAGTATTTCTCACCTCTCGTTATTTCTTACACGCATGTATATACACAGGATTAAAAAATAAAAAACTCCTTTTGCTGGGATGATCTGAACCAATGGGAGAGAAATAAAGACTTGGACATGTGATAAAATGAATTAAAACTCTACAACACTAAGGCACAGCTCCTCGAGAAGGCTCCAACTCCAGCATTCCTCCATCCCCATAAGCCTGGCCACTCCTAGCTGTTCTGGACACCACAGTGTGGCAGAAGGCAAAGGAGCACTAAATGAATTCCTGCTCTCCTTGAGGCCCCACCTCCTACCACGAGCCAAGAGGTAAAACGTGCCTGGAGTCTCAGCATCTCTCTCATACATACACACACACACCACCACCATCATCACCACCAAGCAAGCTCTCTTCCACTTGGAAAAGAGGGAGTGGAGGGGAGAAATGAAGATGCTTAGAGGTGGGAGAAAGCGCAGGTTTCTCTGCGGGAGCCAAGGAGGTAATTAGGAAGACACAAAAGGGGAGTGGCAGGTGGAGGGCAGGCAAAGCCAGAGTTTGTAAAGTGGGGGAGGAGGTGTTGCTCCCAGCCACCTCCCAGCACTGCTCAGCCACTGGCAGAACACAGTGAAAATAGTAAAGGTCGGATCTCCCCATCCTTTCCCAAACTGCCATCCACAGCACACTCCCTGGCTTCTCAGAGAGTTCGAAGACGCAGGGTTCCCTGTTACCCACGCCCACTCCGCAGTCGAAGTCAGGTCTAGAGTGGGCAGGAAAAGGTCCCACATTTCCACGAGCACGCATGCCCTTTGCCCGGGGGCAGCCACGGACCTAGCACTGCAGTGGTAGGATCCAGACCTGGGAGCGAGACGGCGGGGGCCGCGGGCTGGATCTCCAGCGCGCATTCTCGGGGTATTGGCCCTAGGGGAGCTGTGGGCGATGTCTGGCCGGCTGTCCCCTCAGGGGCTGCTCTCCCAACCTCCCCACCACACCTCCTAGAGATCACAAAAGTTATTTTTCCTTGCTGGCACTGCCTGCTTGTCCCAGGAGAAGCCTCGGTTCAGCCAGAGCCTGGGGCTGTGTGCGAGTGTATCTTTCTGTCCCTGAAGCCAAGGGTGCCAACTGCTGACAGGCAAAGGAACCTGGACTTGCTCTTGAGGACTTAAAAATCCCCCAATTAACAAGCTCGCCCTTCTCCCGGCGCTGATCAGCCCAGACCTGGGCTTTTCAGAGAACTGAGACTGGTGCAGTTGCCGCGAGCGGAGCCCCGTCCCGAGCCGCGCCGCGCGGACTCGGCCGTCCGCTCATTCATGCGTTTCTCATCCATTCACACAAACGGGTTCCTTAATTGCGTCTGACACCGACAATCTTGCCGCTATCTCCCCCTCCCCAAGTCCGCGCTCAAGGCAACGGCTGGTGCAGAATGCAACTCAGCTGTCACCCCACTTCCTAAGCCAGAAAATCAAGTCCTGTGAGCATGNGCGCCCCACACTCATGCACGCACGCACAGACACACCGACACACACTCCCACAACACAATGCCCTGACACACTCACGCGCACGCCTCACTCTCACCGGGCGCCTGGGAAAATCGCAGGCGCTNGGTGCAGAATGCAACTCAGCTGTCACCCCACTTCCTAAGCCAGAAAATCAAGTCCTGTGAGCATGCACACACACACACACACACGCACACACACGCACACACACGCACACACACAGGTGGGGAGGAGGGGGCGGACAGCGACGGGGAGCTCACTGGGGTCACATTCGAAGCTCCCCTTTGGGGAAAACCGCGGCACCTACACAGCGGCACGCGAGTAACCAAATTATTATTAAATCAAAGACCGCTAGAGCTCGGGTTCCCGGCAGGGCTAAACCAGGAGCAAAGCC